CAAAAGATGGGGTCATTTCGGCTTTCCGCTGTTGTCATTTCATGACATACTTTTGATGGACAGACACTACAAATGACTTGAGGAATTTGTGCAATACAGGGAATCTTACATTTACTGCTGAGGAAGCATAACAATGTGGGCATGACTAGCAAACTTCAAGATTTAGCATTTCTGTCACTGCTACTTTGTCTGTTTATTACTTAAGGAGTGCAATCAAATGAGTAGCCGACAAATTCGTCCGTCTTCTCTGCAGCAAAATGCAATTAAGCGACTACCCCAATCATTGTTCCGGATGTATCTGTGCGGATGTTTACGAAGGGCTTCTATACGACGCAAGAGTTGGTCAACGCAGCACGATAATCAGTTATTTTTTGCCGTCTTAGCCCTGGGTGCGGTTAAGAATGACTGACAATCAAATCTAGATTACTCTTTTGGAAGATAGTGCGGTAAGCTTAATGTGTAAAAAAGGTTTCTGAATCAAGGCTTGATTTTGGTGTTTGTGTAAAAAAGCAGTCAAGCTCCTACAACAACCTCTAGAGTGGTAAATGAAAAAAGGTAGAATTCACTCTAGGCGTAATCTCTCCATGACTTTTGCTCATGGCTGCAAATGAAGAGATATAGAGTCAAATCTTAAAAAGATTAGCTTTTAACGGGAAAAGTAAGGTCTACTGTCGGACGAAGGCGCGAACCTGGAGACACAAACGCTATTTTATTAGCCGCAGAGCGCATGCACACTTTACAAAGGTGAAGATTTGCGCGCCACGTCCGCCCTCGCGCGACTAATATGACTTTGGACCCTTCATCCGGCAGCTCGTTTACTAGTAAATTGCCCATGATTTGATGATTGCGGTGCTGAGATTTGGCGAATAATTATTGATCGGTCAAAAGCCGACTTTGCTGGCGTACAGTTGTCATGTGCAAATTTTACCGCAAGATTTCGGCACCACAATCGCACTGTATTCATAGAATTAATAGATTGTATCCAATTTGAACTCCTCTATAATTACACATTGTGATATACATGTCGCAAAGCTCAATAGAGTAACAGCTCAGACTGAAGTTTTTTCGCGATTCCTGCTTGCCAATGCGTATTTGACCGTTTTATGATGGAAATAGCTTCACCATTGTATGAATTTTTTTTGCCTTTGAAAACACATAAAACACTTATCCTCCTTTTTATAGTGAAGGAATATAGACCACACGCTAGGAACTTTTAGGACTATCTCGCTAGGACAGTCACTGACGTAGCTTCGAGAAATTAGATTGCTATAGCGAGCAAGATTAGGAGTCCTCCTGTTTTCTCGAGTTAAATGAAACTGTACCATATAAAACCACGACTCCATGTCTTCTTTTCGATTTACAACTCTTCCTTGATGAGTTGCCCGAGCAGCATATTTGGGTGTTCCAATGAATTTATAGCGTGACTCCCTGAAATATGTAGTCTATCTATGTTTGATGGCAGTTTCTATTTGCTACAACTTATCGTACGAGTAAGCTTATCGTATTTACCGCTATCCTACTTCTCAACATTTCTCCCAAAATCACGAACACCTGTTTCCACACCCTCTGCCCTTATACTCAGCAGTGCGTGATAAATCTCTCTATTTCCTTTGGCTCGCGTCCGGCTTATTTGCATTTGAACAATTTGAAAAGCAAATTGTGCCCGTCTGACTTTTAGCTATAAAAACGCTCACAATCTCTTGCCCAGCAGCCTTTTCAAGACAAAGAAGACTGACTAAGCATTCATCGTTTTGGAAAAACAGGAACAAGCCCTGTCATTCCAGGAGTACTGCAGCTTATTCGATAAGGAACGGGTTACAAACGCTCACTTGGGTAAGTTTGCTGTAGTTTTCTCGAATTTCGTACTCATTCCAAAATCCATCACAAATATAATATTTCTGTAAAGACTTCTACAAAAGCAAAGTCGGTCCCCATTGTAAAAACCCCGTTCTGTGTACTCACTTTCCAATAACGAAATTGTCTGGCTTGACATCTCGATGGATATAACCTAACTCATGAAGGTTTTTTAGAGCACTGTGGGTCTGACGAGAAATTTGAATAGCTGTATAAGGTCTGAAATAAACATTGTAAACACATTTCCTGTCATTTGATTAGCTGACTCACGCAAACTCTCCCTTAACAATGCTTTCTTTGATGTAATCTAGCGATTTACCTGTGTAAGGCATCATTATGTATTTAAAGTACTGGTTCCAACCCTAAAGCAAATAATGTTCAGCAATCTCGCTCAAATTCCATGGATGTAGTATGCGTTTGCCCTACAGCTCTACCCGCTGATATTAGGTATCGATTGACTACTTCTAACGCTTTTCAGTTCGTGATGGAGAGTCGCTAATGGTGTAGGAGAAACACGAAGTGAGCGAACATTCATGAATAAACTTGGTGATTTTTGTTTCTTGTTACAGGAAGTCACGCACACACGCATGAGCCAATCATAAGTCAATGAAGAGATTGCATGTGGGTCATTGATAAAACGTGACTAATTCGTGTTTCCGACCTTGC